TTCGAATATCCGCAAACGTTGTATATTTATACAGTACAGAATTTAAGAGCTTACTATTTACTCTTCTTAAATTATAAATTTTAAATCCTTCCCTAAAATAATATTATTTATTTAAATTTACGATCCGAACATAATATGAATGTGAATGGATATAAGGGTTGAAGAAGACCTAAAAAGACATGAATGAATTCTGTGAAAGATAACACGGTCAGAATGGGAGTGAATATGGAAATGACTGCGAATAGAGAAGAATAGAAGAGAAAAACATAATATGGCAACTGCGAATAATATTTAGGATAAGGTAGGAAGATGATGATGATCGGAATTTAACGAGATGAGTTTACAGATAAATAGAATCTGCTCGTACATATGTACCTGTAACGCGTTAAATCCCGATCGTGATTTTAAATTACGCATAAGTAATATGCCATCGTTGTGCCCCGATATACAAGGGGCCACCCCTTCATACCATTTAAATTTATACATAATAAATATATATAATAAAAAAATATTTGATTCACGTATTCTGTCTGTTATGAATGCCAAAATATAAATTTACAGTTATACGAAACACAATTTATGCAAACTAGAGACCTAATAACATAATACAGAAAGAAGCATGCACAATTTTAAAATAAGAAACAAAATAAACCTTAAGACAATTCAGAAACAAACCGGAGTTATGGATGTAGCATACTGAATTAAATAAAAGAACTAAAATAAATATGGACCGGTTACATGATGATGATTAAAAAAGATAAATGGACTAAAAATGTAACTGAGTAAGTGGTATCCAAAACAAAACCAAATAAAGAAAGAGAGACAGCATCGTAGGTGCGAGGATGACATAAAAAAATAGCAGGCATTACGTGAAGAAGGAAGATGCAAGATCGCATTTTGTGGCAAGTTTTAGAGGCCTCTGAAGGAAGGAAATCTTCGCGACAATGGTGTCAAAAATTAATATTAAAGAAAAAACATGTATATAATGTAAGATTGTTAAATAAAAGCTATTATTATTAAACAACGCAAAAGTTTAAAAAGAAAAATATCATTCTGTGTATTTGCTAGCTAATTATATTTTATATCATATTTGTGAAAGTATTACTAACGTCTGAAAGTATTTCAGGTATTTTTGTTGTATGTGTTTTACTTTCGTTATTTTATGTATCCGTTTATCAAAATTATTTGCATTTTAAATAACACTACAAATAATACATAAACAAAAATAAACGTCTTGTCAAAATATGAGCAATTTCAAAGAGTTATTTTTAGGAACAACCTAAACGAGAATAAAACATGGAACTTTAATTTTACTGAGCAAAATCTTTGCTAGAAAGTTGTGTTTAAAAAGTAGAACCTAGACTGTAAATGTAATTGAATTTTAGATAAGATCAGCTTACTTTATACTTCGAGAAACATTAAAACCAATTTACATGTCTGTATATATACCACTTTTACGCGTTATGCGTGCTTATATTTTGTTTTTCATAATTTGCAGATTCTATTCTTTTTAAAATGTAAAAGTGTTAATGAAAAATTTTTGTGTAATTATTTATTAACAAAAAATATTTATGTATTTGTTAATATTTTATTTTATTACATTTTTTTTTTGTAATCTAAAAAAAAGTAATACGAACTACCAGCCTCATTGCTAGCAACATACCCTATTAGGGCGACCGCCGCGTTATCCCCCTGGAAACCATCGTACTGAAATCCAGATGTATTTAACACGATGAGCTGACTCACCCGCCTTCATTCGCACCTATCATTCCTCAATGGTGCCCTGCCAACGTGTATCGTTAGCGCAGGCAGAGTTACTATACCTTTATCATACATCAAATAAAATATATGGAGTAATGAATAAATATTAATTTAAAATCACTTAATAATCTTTCTTAATTTATGTACATCTTTACTAATGTTATAAATGTGAAAGTGAATTTGTTTGTTTGCTATCTTAGGATACCTTAACGGTTTAACCAATCATAATGTAATTTAGTACACATGTACTATATGGGATGTAGAAGGACATAAGCTTTTTTTTATCCTGGTCAGTAAACATATCCCGATTACGCGGATGAAGTCGTAAGTAAAAGCTAGGTAATTAATATTGATAATATTATGTGATAGTTTGTAAACATATTTTGTATGTTTATTGTACCAAATGTTCAGCGAGAAATTCACCGCATTGATCAATTGTAGCGAGCCGTCTTTTTGTATAATAAGTATACATATGTTATTAAAAAAAAAACTTTAAATATAACAAAATGCCTACTTAACACATTATAATAAAAATATTTAAATTTGGAGCATGAAATCGTACACTTACAGATAGATTTATGACGCAATGAACAGTTTTACTTTCTGTGAAAAAAAACTTTAACTTAACAAGTCAAAAAATTAATACTTTTATGTTCCGTAAAAAGCAATAATTCAAAAAATTTGAAAATTTATGTCATATTATATTATCTCTGTTACTACGGAAGCAGCACGGTCAAAACTATGGATTGGTAAAGAATATCAATATTGATTCAAAACTGATCATGATATGATCAATTATACGGTTACAAAAAAAGTCGATTTTAAAATTTTAAAGTCAAAAGACATTAAAAATCGGCACACACACAGAGAGAGAGACGCACACACATGCGCGCGCGCGTGCTCACGCTGTCACACACAACACGCACGCGCACACACGCACACGCACAAACATATGATCAGTGGTTTGATATGAAAAATCAAATGATAAATCAATACGATAATCGCTCCTCTTATGTAGTGCTATCATAAAAAGAAGTAGCAAAACATTCAAAGTAGACTGTCTGTCGCCATAGTAATGGTCTGACGTCACAGCACAATGGCGGTTACCACTTTCCATCAGATCAGCTATCAGCTTATTAGCTATCCCCTGTACCATACACAATATTAATAAGCTGTACGTATGCAATAGATAAGTATTCCATACCTTTATAGTACTTAATCGATTTTACAAAAGGAGAAAGAAGGCTCACATTTACATTTTTTTGTCTCCAGATTTCCAATATATAATTGCCAATAAAGAAATGGTTTTGAAAGTTCTTTCTTTGAACCAACTTATAAAAGGATTGAGTTTGTAGAATAGACTGTTTTCTTTAGATTATTTAAATGTATATGTTATACGATATCATTATAAATTTTTTGCCGATTTGGATGACTATTTTTTTCAATAAATTGATTTGAGGGTTTACTCTTATTGATTAAAAAATTGTAGACGAAAATATCATGAATCATACATACGAATTGATTTTTTTTTAAAAGTCAGTTGATTCCAGTTTTTGAATTATTTGGTAAATTATAAAATTATTAGATAATTGATTAATCTGATATTAATCTAAAAATGAAAAGTCTGTCGCATCATAGAAACCTAGAAGCGAAACTATATTCATAAAACGTTTATGAGTTTTATGTAGTATGTTATTCACATACTGTTTATTTCCATTGCTTGTTTTGTATTCCATTTGAAATATAATATCACTACAGATCCAGCAAATGTTAATGAACTTAAGAAACGTTCGTAATATAACCAGCGACACAATATCGACAAGTAAAAGTCATAACTCATTCATAATATTCTTTAACAACGTCGTATTATAACGTGCAATGGAAAAAGTATATAATTCTATCTTTCTCCCGTGTTCTCAGGTTTCTGTCAATAAATGGTTTCATTTTAATGGTGTAATTACTTTCTTTTGTACATAGAAACATCATTATAACCTACTGTTATAACTTATAATTAATGTGACTTGGAAACAGAGAAATTGTCTCATCGCCATTACGGTTCTATTGATATGCTTGTTATATCGATATTCGCATATTTTCTTAATTTCCAAATTGTATTGTTTTATTCATTATTTTTAAACGACAGAAAAAGTTCTACGTCTTAAGATTTTGTGTTCCACTATATTTTTTAAAATAAAAGGATTTTTTTTTTTTGTTTTAAATAGATAGATACTTTTTGTTTATTTTTTATTTCAATATATAAAATATTATTTAGTGATATATTTTTATGCAACTTGCTGACAAATGCTGAAAGTGTAAACCGTCATTTATTGACATTAACACCATTATGTAAATACACCGTGTTGCCCATAGTACCGTACTGTAATATCACGGTTGATAGAGGATTAAGGTGTTATTCTCCTGTAGGTAGGTATCCGTACTTTTCACTTCCCACTATTCAGACCTAGTATTACCTAGTAAACACAGCCACTTGGCAAAAGACATAAAATGTCTAAAATCTGCGCCATAATAATAATAATAGTTTCTGAATAAAATAATAAACCTGAACTGACAAACAGATACCGAAAAACAATGTTGTTTCTACAGTGAAAGAAGTACGACTTCTTATTTTTTAATTCCCATAATGAAATAATTACAATTTAAAGACATCAATTTTAGTATCTACAGCAAAAAATATAAATTTATTGTATAAAAATTTCATTAAAAGAATATACAAAAGCAAAATCTTTAAAAAGTACAGAGATAACAAAGGCGAAACTAGTGAAAGATGCCTAATATACATCATCAAAGCTGCATACGTAGATGCATTTTGAACATCTGTTGAAATAAATCAAAACTAATTTGGCAAAAAGTTCAATGAAAAATAGACTATAAACGCAAAACATAGGAAATCGTCTTCCGTGCCAATCATTACTGCCACACTCATTACTATAACGATCCTATGAAAATGCGAGTACCAACAAATTTAGATACGCTTAGACAATGATCAATGGACACTTCTGCAATTTGAAGCTTCTGTGCCTGATAATAAAGATTAAAATGATACTAAATGTGATTTTGAAAATGGAAAAGATAATTTTGTTTTAAACGAAATAGCAGACCAAACCACGCTTTAGCCAGGAGTAATAATTTGACCACAAAACGCAAAATATAAAAGGGTGACTACAAATGAATGACCATAGTATTAACGCTGTCAGATAACAACGTAGACGCGTTTTAAAATGTTCCTTATTTTTGTGCTTTATTTTACATCATATGCTTATGCTATGCCAAATCTGGAGAACTCTGATACAGTGGCTTCCGGTCAAATTTTGAAAAAGGACTGCAGTAAAGGGATTTTTAGTCCAACGTGCCTCAAAATTGGTGCTCTAGCATTGTTAGAAAAATTAAATAATAAAGATGAAGTGCCTTTGCTTCCCGGCATCAGTCTTGTGAAAGAAGGAAGTGAGAGTCAAAAAGCAGTTGAACTCGTAAGGAATCTGTCTTCTGATCCCGAGGAGCGGTTGAACAAGTTCTTACTGTACAGAGTCGGAACATTTCTAGATACACATGCGGTGAAACTTAGATTGTTGGATGACGCTGCAATAGAAGAAGCGAGAAGTATGGTTGGCGAAGGTAGAGCGAAGAATCCGTTATCAATGGGAGGGAAGAAAGGCGGAATGGGTGGATTTTTGGCCATGGCGATGATGATGAAAGGTCAGTATTTTATAAATTTATTTTATTTTAAAAAGGAAATCATTTCAAAACAAGCGAAAAAGTATGTAATATTTTCCTCAAAAATGGAAAAATACCATACCAATTCACTAACAAGCCACTACCATCTCCTCATAAAAAGATAATATTACCACTCTTATACTCATGGTAGTGTAGTATAAGGATTTTGTTTTGAGTTTAGATACCTAATTAAAGTTAGAAAACAATACAATTAAATATTAAATAGTTATAATGAGACTGGAACTAATTTGAAATAATAAAACGAAAAATATTTTGGATTTTGAAAGTAAAAAGTAAACTTTTTATTTATTTTAATGGCTCTTAACTTCTTCAGGTATATCAGTCCTATCGTACCCTAAACTAATTTACAGAGATATTAAAAAAAATCTGATTTGGATTCAGCTAATATAAATTGAATAATACCAATATTTAATATGTTTACCTGAAAATAGCGCATGAATACTTCTCTTTTCATCGAATTTATATGACAGTCTAACGTTATATATTGCACATCATCGATGATATCACCACAACCAGCGGTATCAGTCCTGGGGCGACCAGGACTTTCCCATCATATGTGCAAATATTTTTTAAAGGATAATGGCCAGATTCAAACTGCTAATTTAATAATATAAAATAAAGCTATAGATTCATTTGCAGTAACAAATATAATATCATAAGCTTCTCAGCAATTATAATATACAAATCTGGTCTACGACCTAACAATTACTACTTTATCATTAATGGGTACTTATTGTGATTATTCGCATGAATTAGGATAAAAATTATGTATCCTATAATAACAATAATAATAAGGTAATCTGGTACATAATCTATCTATTCAGTAACTGTCATTCAAATTTGTTCAGCCATTTAATGGTGATTGAGAAACAAAAATGCAAATATTTTTAAACTTATTTAATTTTGATTAACATTATTATCCTTGTCATTAAAAAACATATCAATCCTATTACGAACATTAGAAATTTAATGTAATTTAATTTTTATTTATTAATTTGAGTATTATAGTGAAAAGAGGTTTGATTTTTGGTAAAAGTTATCTTTCCAACTAACCACTCAACTGATTTTAAAAATTATTTCATCTATAGAGTTATATTACCTGTGAGTAACATAAGCTATGCTATTAAAAAAATACATCCCTACAAAAATTATAGAAGTATAAAAAAAATCTATTAAAGATCATATAAAGTAGTAATTTATGTTTCTATATATATTTTAATACAAAGTTTATAGGTTTAATTTTATCAGAGGACTTTGTACAAAAGTCGTTTGTTTCGGTACCTGTGTATGGGACAAAGGTTTCAAAATGTAAAATGTGGAATATAGTAATAAATTTACAGGGTAAGAAAACAAAATTAATCATCAGAAATGGCAAAGCATGAGAGGTAAATGTTATCAATCCTGTCTAAATGATTACACAGTCATTATAAGTGATAAAACATACGATTACTTCGACACCTTCCACTTAGTCAAATTTTTTTTTCATAGTTTGATACATTTAATTAAACCATTACATCTCTAAGCAACAATGTCATTATTATATATATAAAGAAGGATTATGAAATAATTGAAAAGGAAATAAACAGGAAAAAAATTTATTAAATAAAGAATGACCGGAAATAAGAATAGAACAAACACAATAATCTATACTTAGTCAATAATTACATTACATAATATTTGGACTTAGAGATAGTCTAACTTTCAGTCACTAGACACGCATTAAAATGCAGATCATTTTGTAGTGAGCGTATTTTTTGCTAACCACCAATTACCAATCAAATGTAAATTTAATAAATGAAGAATTCAATTCTTCTTTGTCAATCAAAACAAATAAAAAATTAAAAAAAAAACAACAATTAAAGCTATAATAATATGCCATTAAATATTAATAGTACACTAACTGATATAAAAACATTAGCTCCTTTTTAGGGCGTTATCTACTAATAAATCTGAACATTTCCGCTGTAAGAAATCTAAATAAAAAAGTAATAAAATTATGTAGGACCTAGAGATATTAAATTTACAGGTGGGTGTACCGTAATCTATACTTATAATAAATCTGTAAAGAGATTAATTCTGTACATGAAATATATTTCCAAAATAACCATCAGGGGGTGATTAGTGATCGATACTGATGCCATAAATGCAATCAGTAAAATTTTTGTCACTTCTGTCTGTCTGCCTGTATGTTCGTTATAGAAACAAAAACTACTCGACGGATTTTAACGAAACTTGGTAGAATTATTCTACATACTCTTGGGTAGGTTATAGTATACTTTTCATCACGCTACGATCAATAGGAGCAGAGCAGTGAAGGGAAATATGTCTATTACATCAAAACCACCGTGAGGAAGGACATAGGCTACTTATTTTACTAAAAACGACGGAAACGCGGACGAAGTCGCTGGCAACAGCTAGTTTGTTAATATAATTATAATAATGCCAGCATGAGCAACAATTTATTGCTTTCACGCTATGTTTTGTATTTCAAATCGACTTCTAAACAAAAGAGGTTTTCAATTCGGTCATATTTTTTTTATACTACAAAGATCGCAAACAAACATACAGCCCGTCTGATGGTAAACGATCACGCCTATGGACATCTGCAACATTAGGGGTGTCAAGTGCGCATTTCAAACCCTAAAAAAACATGTTTATATTATGTTTGTATTATATATATTTGTTACCTTATAACTCCGTCATTTCTTAACCCATTTGGAAAATTCTTTTTTTATTTAAAGGATATGCTTACAGATTAATCTCACATAAATTTGATCAATATCGATTTAGTAGTTTAGTTTTAAAATCAAAATAAATGGTCTTGTCAATAAAAGCCAATTTTTTTCTTAAACTCTTGTGTACCATACTATATATTTCGTTACACTTCTGAATAAACCTTTCCAAATTGCTGCTCTCTACGCGTCTTTGTTAACCAACCATAATTGAAAGATGGCTTTTATTAATAAGGTAATGGGCGACCTTAATAAGTTCCCTGTAATCTTAATATATAAACAGTATTATTTTTATTTTATCATTTCTCATTAAAAGTATTGACCCGACTAAAGGAGGGCAAGAAATGGGCAACAGCGTCCTTCTTGAAATATCTCTGACGCCTAACTGCAGTTACCAATTCGCCTGCCAAACGTGGCAACTACTGGCAAAACCTCCCTTATAGGAGAAGCCTACTTGGCTATGGACAGTTAACGGCTGATGTGATATTAGTCACCACGATAAAGGGCTTCTGGTTAAATTATTAAAACTGATATACTAGTATGAAGCAAGTACTTAAATATTCCAAATTGAATAATTTTGGAAATTCCTTATATGGGATACCTAATTTGGATTAAAATCAAATAAATGGTTTAATTTCTATATCCTCAGTCAGTTCTACTATATATACTTATGAAGAATTAAATAATTAATTGAAATTACTGTATATACTTGACCCCACTTCTTCTTATATATATATATATATATATATATATATATATATATATATATATATATATATATATATATTTCTTCTTTTTACTTTGCGAAGAGATGAAATATAAATTAATATTTCATAATACCTTAAATTGCCAATGGAAATTAGTTTCTATGTTCATAAAAAGCAATTTCCCCCATTTCTGATTTTGCAAATTTCGCACAAAGAAATTATTGTCGCTAGTAGTTACAGCAATGATCAATTTAAATTTTATTAAAAACACATAAAGTTAATACATATCTACATCTAAAACCATCAGTTGGTTGCGTCTTCTTCAAATCAAAATTCACAAAGAAATCAAACAAAAACCGACCTTATAATTACAACACACAACACATATTAGCATGCCTCATTATATACTTTTTGCAATCAGCCTTCTATGAAAATATAATTGACATAAGCTCCACACTGAGTCATATAAAAGGTGAGCGAAACAATCGTGTTATCAAACTGTAACAGGCTTCGATCCCGTGCACACGTTTCAAAATTAAAAATGTATAGTGTTATATACTTGACATTAGTGACGTCGGCATTGGCGTTGCCAAGTCCCGATATTCGTGACAACAAAGTGGATACAATTGAGTCGGCAGCCAGGGCGATGGGCAAGGATTGCTCCAGTGGGATCTTCAGTCCGACCTGTTTGAAAATCGAAGCCATATCCATGCTGGAGAAACTCAGTGCCAAAGACGAATTGCGGTTACTCCCTGGAATAAGTTTAGTGAAGGAGGCCAGAGAGAACGATAGTAAATCTGAGGAGTTCGCTGCTGAATTGGCAAGGTCGCTACCGTCGAAACCTGACGAGAGATTGGACAAGTACTTATTATATAAGCTTGGAAATTATTTGGAGACGCATACAGTGAAGCTCAGATTGCTGGATGAGAGTGCCACTGAAGAAGCTAGAGCGTTGGTTGGAGATGCAAGAGCTAAGGGTGGCCTTGGAGGTGGGAAGAAGGGTGGCATGGGAGGACTTTTAGCTATTGGAATGTTGTTCAAAGGTATGTTATTAAAAAAAAAAACAAAAATAAAAAATAAACACAGTGGCATGTAACTCTGAACTAAACAAGGTATAGCCTTGTTATCTAAACGTAACTAGACTGTTTCCACTTATTTAAAAATATTATATTTTTTTATAAATTCATACACAAAAAAAAACGTAAAAAAATATAAACAATATACACATAAAAAAAAAACAATAAAATTAATTAAGAAGATTAAAATAATATACAGAGAGAATATTCAAAAAAATTTTAAAATTAGTATTTGTGACAAAATGGTACTATCATATTTATACATATACTAGCTGACTCGGCAAACTTTGTTTTACCATATACATTATTTCGAGAATTATACATGAAATTTTCTCGTACTACAATTATTATATTCTATTGCTATATTTCAATCCTATTGCGGCATATAAAAATCGCGATTAAAAACAGGGGTTGATCGTAAAAGCATGAAAATTTTAATTTGTATGTATTTTTTAATGCTAAATCATAATAAAATAAAAATAAATTTCTTTGTCAAAAAAATAAAAAATAATATTTAGGGGTGGGTCACCCTTATCATTGAAGGGTATGAAAAATAGATGTTGGCCGATTCTCAGTCCTACCCAATATGCACACAAAATTTCATAAAAATCGGTGAAGCCGTTTCGGAGGAGATTGGTTACAAACACCGTGACACGAGAATTTTATATATTAGATTTAAATTAAAACTCCCTAAAATAATAATATTAAAACATAATAAAAAATTCAATCAAACACTTTACTTTGATATTAGTTACGTGCACGTGTAATATGATCTCAATGAACATTTATGTAATCTACCAATCTGACAAACCTATCTGTCAATGTACTCGTATGTAAAATTTGTTGTACACACTTTTTTAAACAACTTGAGAAAGAGGGACTTATATATGTTTCATAGATATTATGTTACGCAATATCTATTCTGTACGAAGTTTGATGATTCTTTTTGTAGCGGAGAAGTTTACTTCTATACTGATTTCACATTATTTTATCTATGTTTATACTAATAATAATATTATAAAGAGAACAGATTGATCGTTTATAGCAGATAAACTCAAAAACTATTCAACGAGTTTTAAAAACTCTTTCACATATAGAAAACATTATCAGCTAGAACATAAGCTATATATTATTTTTGTAAATACTATCTTCATGCAAATCCGGAACTTTTTTTTTGTGGATACAACTTAGAATGGCAAACAAGCTGAAGGCCCACCTGATGGAAAATGGTAACCGTCGCCTATAGACATGAACAGTACCATAGACATAACAGAGTATACTGTTTCGCCCATGATACCCCTCATGCGTTGCCATTCCTGAGGACTCAGATGTTATTCCTCCGTTAACCCAGTAAATTCACGCCATATCCCACCCTTCAAACCGAAACACAGCCATGCAAACAATCGACTTTAGAGATTTTTAAAAGGGACGTTGCTGCCCATCTCTCTCCTCCCTTAGTGTACAACGATGGCCTTCCATATTAGCCATTAATCTCCAACCGCTATTCAATCCACCCATGTTTTGCGACACGTATTGTGTTAGCAGTCGCACACATACTGATAGTAGCGGAATTAAACAAAATAATTCTAATCAACTAAACAATTATATAATTAACTCCATCTGGTAAAATCTGAAAAAGGTGTACTCTGTACATGAAATATATTTCCAAAATAACTATCAGGGGGTGATTAGTGATCGATACTGATGCCAAAAATGCAATCAGTAAAATTTTTGTCTATATGTATGTTCGTTATAGAAACAAAAACTACTCGACGGATTTTAACGAAACTTGGTACAATTATTCTTCATACTCCTGGGCAGGTTATAGTATACTTTTCATCACGCTACAATCAATAGGAGTAGAGCATTGAAGGGCCATTTCTAAGTTCGCCATTCTAAACGCCATTCTAAGTTGTATAAAAAAAAAGATTTATTATAAGTATAGATTATGACACCACGGTATCCTTAATACGTTGTCATTTTTGAAAGCTAAGATATATCTTAGTACTTCACTGCCATATAACATCCTTCAAAATAGTATCCTATTAATGTACGAAATGCAAAATGTTTTAAGGATATACATCCATCCTTAAAACATTTTCCATTTCGTACATTAATAGGATACTGTAGATGTTTGTTACTCATTCAAGCAAAAAGTACTCAACTATTTTGAATAAAATTTAGTACATGGATTGATTATATCCTAACTTAGCATGTAGGATACTTAATGTAACTGATTCACGCGGACGAAGCTGAGGGATACAGTTAGTAAGCCATTCAAACACAATTTATTGACCGCAGAAACATACGAATACGACAAAGGTACCCATTAATATGAATAGAACAGAATAAAACAGAAATAAACTTTATTCAAATATACTTGTTTACAAGTTCTTTTAAATCGTCAATTTATGACTTTTGTACAAAGTCTGTCGCTGGACAATCATTATTTCCCACTAGTTTCTCGCCATGCAAATCATGTCTCTTATTCCTATACATATGTCACATTGATAATTCTAATTGTAAAATGATTGTTAATTTTTTTACAGATAGTTACATATTATATTTTAATTGCAAAAATAATCAAATTCACAGAATTGACTAAACTATCGAATAGTCGAGAATGCTCAACTAGTATTACTAATTATATTATTTTACTAGCTGTATCCCGCAGCTCTACCTGCGTGAATCAGTATGATATGTGCTAAGTTAAGATATAACCTACTCGTGTACCAAAATTCATTTAAACCCTTTCTTGAGATGAAATTGAAATTATTTGCTAGAAACATTGTAGATAAGATATTGCATTTTAGTCAATAATTTTTACGTAAAAGAGTAACAAATATCTATATATCGATTAATATAAGCCAACAAGATATACAATGGTTATAATAAGTCTCATAATAATGACGCTAGTTTAGAAATTTAACATCAGAGGGCATCCGAATAGTAATTATTAATAATTAATCATTTTAAAAAAAGAGAAGGTTCTCGATTTAATTTAACAGTAACAATTTTTTTTTATACTACTGTGATAACAAACAAGTATATAGCCCGTCTATTTAATTGTGTAAATCTTTCAAATCTTCACCGAGCGATTTTGCTGATTCTTTTTCTGAAATCGATAGTACTCGTAGTAAGTAATCTTTATAAATATTTGCATTTTCGACCGACTTCAAAAAGAAGAAAGTTCTCAATTCGGTTATACATTTTTTTTTACGTTTGTTACCTCATCGATTTTTACTCATGATATTGCAGGCATTCATAGGCTGTGTTAACCGTTTACCATCAGGTGGGCTGTATGCTTGTTTATCACCTCAATAGCCGAATCGTATACTGAATTTAATTTAAATCCATTCAGTAGTTATTGCATTGGTAAATAACAAATATCCATCTATCTATTTATCCATCTTTCCATTCTTACAAACTTTCGCATTTATAATATCAATAGATATTAAAAAGTACTCTGATGATGTGTAAATTATAAATAATTATAATCAATCTGAAACATTTAAATAAGTTCAATCGTTATTACATTTTAATAAGTACGCTTTTAAGAATTTTAAAATTGCTTTCAAATTCAATATTGCATGCAACAATATGTCCGTTGATTTATAATAAAACGTTTCGTATATTACACGTTAGAGGTCGTATAGGAATAAAAGGGCTTAGAAACATTGATAACAGAGGGCGACACCTCTGTTGTAGTACTAGTTGCACATATTCCAGTGACGTATCACAAACAATTGACATTCAAAACTAGGCATTGCGAATAAAATTCACATTTTATATTTATGCAAATTCATAATTTCTATAAAGAAGTCTTTTAAAAAAATCAGTAGCTGTATTTTATGCCCGTTCTTCTTAGCTGAAATTTCTTTCAAAATAAAAAATAGAGTAATGAAAATTACAATACAAAAATGCTTTAATTTAAGTAGTATACTTAATATTATATAACTATTGAATAAAAATATTTCTTTCTTTCTTTCTTCTTTTTTTTTAATGTAGATATTATCATATTTAATAAATACTATTTAGTCAGTCATAGTCCATGGTATCCCATAACTGGACAAAGGCGTCAACATAAGTAGTATTATTTACCGTTTTTTTTTTTTTAATAAGTATCTCATTTTAATTATACTTCTTGATTTTTATATTAATTATTTTAAATACAGAGTTATATTTTGCTATATAATATAATAATTTATATTTATACTACAGGTATATATTATATACAATAAAAAAAAAATCTTCTTAAAATTATAGAGAAACTACAAAAAAAAAAAAAAACAGAACTATATAAAATAAATAGAGCGAGAATAAATTTGAACGAAATAGAGCGGTAACTTGAGAATAAAGTCCATTTCACCATCACTACTTTGGATATGTGACATTAAAGTTCTATCAATAAAAATGTTGAAAGAAAGCAAAAGCTATATAATTTTATACTGCAATTAGACTTCATTCAGCAATCAGAGCATATGAGCAGCGACGTGGTCTGACACGCATTTTTAATGTAACTCTGTTTATATATATAAAAAGACAGTTTCTATATTAGACACGATCCTTACATTATAAATGTGAAAGTGAGTTTGTTTGTTTGTTTCCTCTTAATGTCTTAACAGCGGAACTAATCAGTATAAAATTTAGTATATACGTACTTTTGTTCGTACATACTAAATTTTATACCGTACCTATGATTGAGAAGGACTTAAGCTGCTTTTTATCCCGGTCAATGAACATATCCTGGTTTCGCGGACAAAGTCGCAGGTATAACTAATAGTGAATAATTTCAGATACAACAAATAAAAAAATAATAATATACAATAATATAATATAATCATGTATACATATAATAAAATTATAACTCGACAGTGTCTGTACATAAAAGATATTTAAGGAAAATTAATGTGAGAGAAATAATTTATAACACACAGTTTTTTACAGTTATATTCCTGAAAGTCGAATATAAAATCTGGTGTAAGTTTTATCTTATCTCTGCTTAACATTATTAACGAAAATGGTGAATTAGAATTTTTCGTCCCCGCGGTCTCCCCAGAAAACCATCGTACTGAATTCTAGGTGCATTTTTCACGATGGGCTGATTGACCTGTCTTTTCATTCACATCTATCATCGCTCACTAGTACCCCGCCAGTATATACCGTTAGCGCAGGCGGGGTAACCATTTCATTATCATCTATTAAAAAAAATCAAATAACCAGCAATAGTTACTGTTTCCTAGACTAGACAGTCTCCGCTCTAATTTTTAATTAAACAAGTAGCAATTACAATTTGATACAGTGAGAGTACAACTTGTTTCAAACCGTCACAAAATGGAATCCTTAATAATATTATAAATGTGAAAGTGAGTTTGTTTGTTTGCTACATCTTACCACCTTAACTAGACCAGCTTAACTGATCACTGTTAAATTTAGTACATAGTACTATTTGTAACGAAAAAGGACTAGGCTACTATTTATCCTGGTTAGAGAATATATCCGGGTCACGCGAACGAAGTTGCGGGTAAAAGCTAGTAGAATATATATCTGTTAAGAATAAGTCCTCCCTTGTATGATAATTATATGATTAATACATCTAATTATTTTTTTATACATGTAATGTATAGTAAAAATATAATTGCTTTATATTATTCTCAATTTCGTGTATAATATAGTATATGTTATATATGTGTAAGTATATTTGTTATTCATATATATTTATTCATTTATATGTGTAGTTTTAGTATGTATGTATATAAATAATTAGTAGTACCGCATTCGAGTATTGTGACACTTCCCTATGGTTGACTGGGAGAGAATGTTTTTAGCATTAAGTCCGCCATGTACACATATTTGTACTAATGAATAAACAAATAAATAAATAAAATAATTCTAATATGTATTGTATGTACCTATGTATGTATTAATGACTTTTATCACTTTTTAAGATTATATAAAATTACAGTCTTTAAAATCATTATTTACCTATTCTAATCACAATTTATTTATACACACGTTAGGCGATATTTTCGTCGTTTCTTTTTTCTTTAATTAATTTTTTCTTTACTTCTTATATATATTTTTTCACTATTAAGTTACTGTTTTTTATAAAACTAGATCTTAAATTAATTAGGTCTTTTGTTATTTTCCGTACATTCCATTGTACATTTTGTTTTTTTTATCTATCCTTTTTATTGGAACAAATTAATTTCTTCATTTAGAAAATTAATTATACTATTTGTATAAATACTTTATTCATTATAAAATTAATAAAAAAAAATTATTTACCTTTCAGAACTATCCAAAATGCGAATGTAACTTTTTAAACATACATTATCTGGTATATTTTCAGGAACTCTCATGACGCTGGGTCTTGGAGCACTGGCGTTACTCGCCGGCAAGGCTCTGATGACGGCGATGATGTCGCTCCTGCTGTCCGCCATCATTGGTATCAAGTCCCTCTCCAGTGGTCATAAGTCAACAACATACGAGATCGTATCAAAACCGATATATAGCCACTCGCATTCACATTCGACAGCTCATGAGGATGTAGGTGGATACGGTCATTCAGGGTACGGAAGAAGCCTAAATACTAGAAGACGATAATTTTAGTTGCTGTTTAATTAAGTTATTAAGCATTTTTCGACTTTACGATGAAAACGGATCACCTATTGGCAATTTTTTTTGTTAAAAGTTTAATTTAATTTAAAAGAACAAAAATCAACTGTTTTAAGTTAATTTTTGTTGTTTATAATCTATTTTGTATTTTTTTTTCATTGATTTATATTTATTCTTTAATTTACAAAAAAATTGTACAAATATTTAAACGTATTCGACTTTTTATTTATTGATCAAAAATTCGCATATAGGTGGTCAAATGAAACTGGATCATGTTCATAGACAAGTCTTTAAGATATCATATTGGTTATGGTGTAATAATGCAATTATATTTGCATTTTTATTTTACTCAAACTACCAACGAGTTGTTAGTGACTATTTATTGAACCTATTTATTTTTAGATTAAGGTACGCTACCACGCAATATCTTTTATATATATATATATTTTTGTATTGCAATATGTTATTCATGTATTTGTATTGCTTTATTATATTTATAATCAAATTTATATACAATCGTTTGATTATCTTCTTTATATTATTTATAACGAGATGTATATTATATTGTGTATATTTTATTAGACTTACATTGTATTAATATACGATATTATGTATTCATTTTATGATTTGTATTTTGTATTTGTAATATAGGTCTAATTAATATTTATATAATTTACTTAACATTTTTCTCACTACTATGAATATTTATATATTTGAATAATATATAACTGTTTGTTTTTTTTATCTGTTAAGTCTATTTTAAGTATATTTTGTTTATATTTATAACATATAGGATATTTTTTTTGTATTGATAAATATTATATATGATTAAAAACAATGTATATAACTTATTACAATTATATTTGTTATCCAAAGAGAAATTACAGTCATCAAGAGAAGTTATGACAAAGTATTTTATAATCTTTATAATTATAAATTTCACCTTTTATGTTATTTGTTTAATATGATACGTACTTGTTTTAAAATTAAATTCAATCAAATAATTTCATATTATATTTCTATATAAATATAATTATATAAAAATATATAAATATAATTTTTATCTTTTCAAAAATTATCAGAGCTGATATGTAAAATTTAGCTGTTTAATGTGTAAATTATTATTCATATTTATACGTATTTTTATATAACTTATTCTATATAAGTATTCTGTATAAGTTTAGTAAATGAAGTATATAATTTTGTAAATAAAATCTTTATTATCTTTATTTATATATTAGGTAAATATTATTATGTGTATGTTCCTACAGTATTAAAATTAGAAACTATAACACTATATATATGTATAAAAATAATCTTCGTCATACCAAAAATAAAATAAATTATTAAACATAAAATCTATTTTTATTTCTCCTGTAAAGAAAATGAAACTGATTCTGAGTTACCATTTCTCTAAACTGGTCTCCTTATATTTTCATTTAATAATTTTACAAAATCACTGTTTTATGGGCCAATATAAATTAAAATTATAATAATTTTCACATAAATCTTTTAGAAAATTATTTCACATTGGTCCTTATAATAAAGATTTCACTGTGATATCAAATTTTAACTTTAATTTTAAAAATACGTTTACATAATTAGCACCTCAGAATCGGACCCAATAACACATTTGACCAACCATGTATGGGTGTCGCCCTCTGGTATCAAGAATTTCTGCAACACATTGATCATATACAAAGGCTTCTTAGCATTTCCTTCGAAGCATAAAGTATCATAATTAAATGTGAAAATGTGTTTGTTAGCTTGTTACCGTTCGGTTCCTTAGCGGCTTAACCAATCGTTATAGAATTTTACGAGTATACCCATGCGATAGAGAAGGACATATTTATCCGGTTCAATGAACATATCCCGATCAAGTGATCAAAATCGCGTGTAAAAGCTAGTATAACATAATAAGATACGAGGAGATGTTGTGATACTTTCAATCTAGATCGCCTAAACCATTGAAATTATAGAATAGTTTCAATCAAGAATCGAACCTGGAATCTCATTACGCAAAGCATAAAAATCATTATTGCTTTATCTTATGAAAGCAATTAAACACGTAACCTGGTCCAGGTAGGAAACATTATATTTGTACTAAATGCATTAACAAATCAATTAAGGGAGAAACACTATCAGGTAAAAAAATTAAGTACTAATTCAGGGTATAACTATTCATATTTTTATATATATACATATATGTACAATAATAAGAATAGTTATTATTTTAATAATTAAATAGGTTGTGATAGAATTAACTCGTGATCACATACAGTACAGTTTCAAAGGAATTTTCTCCTGCGAACGCTCAGGCTGTGGAATGAGCTCCCTTCTGAGGTTTTTCCTAAAAACTACAGTATGGGACTCTTCAAAAAAGTACAATAAGGTTTCTTCAGTTGAAACTTCAGTTGAGGTCAGGTTGGCAACGCACCTATGACACTCCTAGTGTTGCAGGTGTCCATTGACTATAGTAACCATTTACTATCAGATGGGCTGTATGCTTGTTTGCCATCTTTGTTATATCAATAAAAAAAAATGTAAAATAAAATAAGTGAAGATATTTGGGTTATTACGAGTTAATAGAGTAACAGGAATACAAATACACAAAAACTAATATAATCTACTATCAATAAAACTACTGGATATAATTTACAAATATTTTATATTTATCGAGAGCAGAGTAGTAAGAATGTGCATTCAATAGATTTAAAAATTTAAATCATTTGTATATGTATATAGAGTTACAATTTGATCCATAGTTTTATTATTACCAGAGGGAGACTTTGTACAAAAGTCGATTGCTTGGGTACCTCTGTCCCATTCGTGTTTCAACCGTAAAGCAGTTGTGTTTGCATGCATGTGTTTCGGTTTATAGGTGGGATATGGCGTGAATTTACTGGGTACGGAAGAATAATACCTGAGCCCTCAGGAATGGCAACGCATGGGGGGTATCATGGGCGAAACAGTATACTCTGTTATGTCCATGGTACTGCTCACGTCTATAGGCGACGGTTACCACTTTCCATCAGGTGGGCCGTTAGCTTGTTTGCTATTCTAAGTTTTATAAAAAAAAAATTTAACTTAATTGTTCGACATAAATATTCATCTTCAATCTTAGAAAAGACATAAATATTATTATTATTATTATTAATTAGCTGAACAGAGAAATATTTTCTCACTACCGGACTCTTTTTTTATCGAAATAATAAATGTCCTATGTAGAGGGTTACAACGAAAAATATATATATATATATATATATATATATATATATATATATATATATATATATATATATATATATATATATGTATATATATATATATATAATACGTGTAGATACAAGACGAGACAACCATTTGAATAGAAACAAAAACCGTGTAGAAAAATAATATCAACATATATATGTGGCCAGACTTAAATTTACGTCATGGCCACAAAAAAGTTTCAATATCCTATCTCTCAAATTAAAATAATTAATACACTTTCCTATCTTTTAAACTTCATTAAAATTAAATTACATTTAATTCTTTTTTTTTTTACAACACAGGGGGCAAACGAGCATGCGGCTCACCTGATGGTAAGTGACTTGATTCATTATAAACAAACAACGTGACACGGGATTATTGTATATTAAAAATAAAGATCTTTCACTGATTTACTTAAAAAATGTCTATGATATTGAAAATATCTTTCTGTGTTCCTAAATCGACAAGTTACAAACAACGTTGCCAGTACGGTATCAAGATAACCACTGCTATTGAAAGTGAATCTGTATTGTCTGTTCTGATAAAAAAAAAGAAGTATTATCACAAACTTTCTTACTCTCTCTGATTGGTTGCTCTAGCTGGTACTTTTTTTCTTTTCTAGGGATCTTCAATTAAATTCATAAACCCTCTAATTTTATAACGAACAAATAACCATAGTATTCTTTAGTAGCAGAAATTTTGGAAAAAGATCTAAGTTCTTAATCATTTATTATAGATACGCAATAAATAAACCATATTATTATATTTAATTATTAGTATTAATACTTGATTGTTACTAAAATCATAATATCTGCATCAATAGTGGAATGGGATATTCGAAAACAAAAATACCTAATATTAAAAAAAAAAACTTTTCTTCGGTCATAGTGACATAGATGAAAAGTTTACTCACATAAGACCCTACAAGAGTTTGTTGTATTAATTTACTTATTAAAAATGTAACAATCAAATTTAAAACTAATGTCATGTGATCCCAGCATAGCATAGAATAATAGAATAGATGTTATGAAAGGCATCTAAAGGAACTTAATGATAGAGGAATGGGTAGCAGCATCCCTTTTAACACTTCTTTACATGATTTTTTTTATTGGTGAAATAAATCAAGGTGATATAATTCGTGTTCAAAATTAAAGGAAAAATGGTTAAAAAAAAAACATTACAGCTATTTTTTTTTCTGCAATGGACATTAAAAAGGTATCCAGACATGATCAACTTAAAGTGACGAAGTATGATTAAATTTATATAATTTTCGGTCATTCAGTGTTATGATGGAAATTTCCACTATTATGCAAAGAAGGATTAAAATATCTTTAAAAACGTAACTGCGATTGCCAATCCGCCTGCGTGGCAACTACTGGCAAAACTCATTTTATGGGAAAAGTTATATTCAGCAGTGGACAGTTCATGGCTGAATTGATGATACCTATTGTATCATTATAATTTCAAATTTAAACCCTTATATACTTTCACAAATTTTCACTGAAGTTATATTTTTAATTAGTTGCATGGTATTTAGATAACTCCTTCTACAGTATCATTGAATCAGTATTATCATTCATCTTAGTTTCGCATTGTGATGATATTTTTATGGCGTAATTAAGAGTATAAATGTTAAAATTGCTCGGTTACGAAGATAAATAAAGGAGATACGCTATACCGTACAGAGAAAACTATATTATTTACAAAGTTATACAATGTTTCACAAATAAACCGTTACAGTTGCTTTTAGTATTTTCGACTTCCAACAAGGCATAAAAGATCTATTTCAAGAGCAAGTTAACGCGTGTGGACTTCGTGGTTGACACAGTGTATACTGTGACACCTGTTTATATGTTTTCTAAACAGATGTGTCATCACAAATTGCAATTAATCTATACTTATAATAAATCTGTAGAAAGGTCAATTCTGTACATGAAATATATTTCCAAAATAACTATCAAGGGGTGATTAACATAGTGACCGATATTGATGCCAAAAATGCAATCAGTAAAATTTTTGTCTGTATGTCTGTATGCTCGTTATAGAAACAAAAACTACTCGACGGATTTTAACGAAACTTGGTACATTTATTCTTCATACTCCTGGACAGGTTAGGTATATTGGTTATAAGGTAATCATAATTACCTTAATTTCAAATTTATTATAATAATATAATAAATTTATTAGACATTACGGAACCCTGGTGATAATAAAAAATGTTACTAATCTGTCTTCAGCTAAGACAATGAGTGAAAGTAAAAGTTCACTTTTACTTAGATTAAGTATTTATCGAAATATTTTCTCGCAAAAGAAATTGCCAATATAAAGCCACAAAATAGAGTTTTCCTTTATTGAATTATAGCTTAATAAAAAAAAAATACACAGACACGGAACCCTGCTAATACATACCTATCTTGGCTAGTTTGCCAACTGACTTAAAAATGGACAAGTTTCAAAATTTCGGCTGTATATTTTTTTTCTACGCAGGTATATTACGTAATTGCTTTACCAATTCTGAATTGACTTTCATGATTCTTTCAATCAAAAGTATTTACTACCACGTCAATTCTTTAATTATTTTTCCAAAAATTAAAGTCAGTTTTGTTTAAAGCAAAACTTTATTAATATATGAAAATTAAGTTCTATCATTGTGCGAAATTTTAATTAAAATATAATTTTGAAAAAATTTACTATACAATTAAATATACATATTTTAAATATACAACATCAAATTCTATTATTATATTCAACTTATAATTATTAATTGTTAAGAGTTTAAACAACAATACAATTACGGATTAAAATTTATGATTAAATTTCATTTATAATGAATGTAAAGTGTATTTAAGAATAATAAAGTAAGTATATTAATTTATATTATATATATATATATATATTATATTATATATATATATATATATATATATATATATATATATATATATATATATATATATATAAAATTGTCAACTTTTTACAGATAATAAAAATAGACTAACTAAATAGCTACCGTTTTATCTCGACCAGTCTTCACGCATGCGTAATCCATATAATAAACGTAATTGACAGAAGCTTTCGCTAAAATTATTTTAGAAATAAATTTACACAGTTATATATCTAAATGTAGGAGCACTTGATAGTACATGTTCCATGCTATGTTCATACAAGGAGATAGTTACAAACATTTTTTACTTAGCTCTATTTTAGCGAATTACTCCGAGGCCCTTAGTATTAGATTGGATACAATACTTGTAATAATGCTGCAGAAACTGGGCAGTCATAGATTCTAGCAATGTCTAAGATAAATCGAAGTGATAGAAATAATTTCTTGTTAATTCTAATGGCATTTAAAAAAAGAATGATGCAGTATATATGTTTGACCCAAAAAACTTAATCTTCAGTAAAAACAAGTGAATAAGACAAAATCGCAAGAAAAGGTTTGATCACAATGTACTTATAGCCTAAATTGTTGGATTTAAGTTGTAAGTACTTTGCCATATCCATATAGTACCTGAAGATCGTCACTCAACTTTCTTTAGGTCGATAAAAACTATATCACATAACCTATTGGTTGCGATTACAATAAATCAATAACATCGTAGGTAATGTCTGCGACAGTAAAAAAAAGACTTCAAACCACCGTATACTTTTCCATTTGTTTACTTTTCGAAAGCGACTCTAGTTTCGCCGCTAACAATGGCACCAAAACTTATTTTGTTCGTTTTACCATTTCTCGATCTATCGTTGTCTTATTTTAGTTTTCTTATGACTATAAATAAATCGCGCTGTCGACAGATAAATCAGTACAGTTTAACGTACGAAATGTTTACCATCCAATAAACGAAGCGGACTTTGTGAAGTGTAAAAGTGACAAAATGTATAAGAAAAGTGTTCTTGTTGTATGCATAGTGATATTGTGTTACTCGGATACCGCTAAAGGACTTATCGAAGATGGAAGTCAGCCAAACACAATTGCTCCCGTGAAAGAGAGCAAAAACGTTTCCAGCAGTGAAAGAACTGGCAGATTTCTGCATAAGGACTGCAGTAGTATTTTGAGTGCTAAGTGCTTGAAAATTCACGTGCTATCATTCCTGGAGGATCTGAGTTCTCGGGATGAACTTAATTTATTACCCGGATTGAGTATTGTTAAGGAAAATCACACATCCAATACTCTGAGTCCAGAGGAAATGGCCGCAGAGTTGTCTCGCCAATTCCCTGGGAAACCAGAGGAAAAACTCAACCGGTACCTACTCTATCGCCTTCAAGACTACTTGGATGGGCATTCATTGAGGTACAAACTACTCGATCCTCAGACTTCGAAGGAAGCTATGAGTATGGCGAAAGGAGATAGAGAAGCCATGGGAAGGAAGTCTGGAGGGGGAGGACTTGGTGGGGGTGGTAAAGGCGGTGGTGGAGCCTTACTTGCGGCCGCTTTGATGATGAAAGGTAAATTATTACTTAAATATACATATATCGAAAAAGGAATTAGATAAATTATTTCAAGTATTAAATTATTTATTAGTCAGACAGGCATGTAAAATTTCCATTTTTTTTTAATTTGAATCGATTATTCATATTCCCAAATTAGTAAACTGTAAATATTAAGAAAAGATTAACTAAATAATTGATCAAAATTAAAAAGTTTGTAGACGTTCAGTTTATTATACAGAACAATATTGAAGATTTTCTTTAGACGCATCCGTCAGTATTTTAAATAGGATACATTCACCCATATTATATATCCATTTATTACCAATCATTTATATATACGTACTGAAATATTTTTTAGGTTCAATATTAATATAATGATACACTTTCATTATTCTATGCTAAATACTTAATCCTTTGTATATAAAATCCATTATTTACAGTTCAGCGTATCTTTATATGTAACTTTTGAATAGGCATGTGAAACTTCGGTTTTATATTCAAAGATATAACAAGATACTAAAGATTTTTTTCAATTTTATTTTTACATTTGTCCCTTTAGTGTTATTGATACCAAATTATTTTTTAGGTGCTATGGCTGCAGCCGCATTGGGAGCATTGGGATTATTAGCTGGTAAAGCTTTAATGACCGCCCTGATGTCACTATTGCTGTCAGCATTGGTTGGCCTCAAAGGCCACGGAGGCCACAAATCAACTACATACGAAATCATCACCAAACCTGAGATCTCTCATCATCACTCCCACAGTCACGAGGAACATCACGAACACGAACATGGTCACCATGGCGGATATAGAAGAGCCTATGATGTAAACTACAATACTTACATGCCTTATGATACTACAAGTAATAGTAGCTAATACCATAGATGTTACTGCAATTTATTTATTTCATTAATTTTAAGTAATTTATTTCTTTTCTGTTAGATTTATTTAATAATGTCTATGTGTGCTCCAAGAAACCGAATGTTACTCTTTTTTGATAGTAGTCATCGATTGGAACTCTCGAGTTGTATGTAATGATAACGATGTAAGATTAGGAAATTATCAAACTTGACTAATAGTTAAGCCTTTTCAATCAAGATCCAAATACATCTTTGGAATTAGTTAAAGGACTTTAGTAAATGTATCTAATAATGGATCCTAAGTTTGGTTTCGTGAGTCTTTGTAATTACAAGAAGTGGTAACATCGAATTGGTCTACTAATTGAACTGGTACGTGGATTGCTTCTAAACCCATCGATTTTGGGCTCAATTTAGTCTATTTTAGATGTACAAACATTATAATTTATTTATTTATTTATTTATTTATAAATTATTTGTTGTTATTGCATGTTTATTTATTGCAGTCTATTGGGTAGACGTGTTAAAGTTTATTTCCTCTCTTCGTGTATTTATTTATAACAAATAATTATTTAATTCATTTTATAAAAAATCGAATATATTTATTATATTTCTTATATCTTTACCACGCATTTTTACAAGCACTTTAAAATTGATAATTTATTTTTTCATTTTATTTGATAATTGTATTCTACCTTAAAACTAATTGCTTTCCGTCTTATATTATTACTTAGATTCATATTACTTTTTTAATTATATCTTTTTTCTTGATCTCTATTTTTTAAATATCTGCTTAATATTTATAAATTTATATGCGGTATGTATAACTGTGATATTCTTTAAGCTTCTAAATACTACACCAAATATATTTTTACGTTATTTTATTTATACTTTTACACTATAGTTTCTCGTTGTAAATCGATATGTAAAAATTTAAACCCTAATAGCATTGAGATATTTAATTGACAACCCTATTTACTTTTATGAAAAATATAATTATCTTTAATGCCTATGTTTTCTTTTCACCTCTAAGTAATACTTAATCCTTTAATATAAATGTCGAAGTGTAAGTAAGTGTGTAAGTAAGAGTTAATTACTTGGAAAATTGAAAATTAATACTCTCCCACTAAAACCACGTGGGTGCCGTAAGAGACGACTAAGGGGTCTTAACGGTCGAAGAATGGGCAGCAGCGTTCGTCTTAAAATATCGCCAAAACTTAACTGCGCTTGCTAACCCGCCTGCCAAACATAACAACAACTGACAAAACCCTCCTTATGGGCGATGCCTATGTTCAGCAGTGGACAGTTAACGGCTGAAATAGTAATAATAATAAACAAAAATACAAGAAATATATACATACATAGTGACTGACAAAAAAATCTAAATTTGACATAAATTAAAAAAGACACTAAGAATTAGATTACATTGACTAGTGGTATAAATTTTTTATGAATAAGATACGATTATCTCTTCATTTATCTATATCTAAACAAACAGAAAGATGCTTGTAAGATTTCCTTTAGATCTGCAATTTATTCACCGCAATAATTTACTGTTTACTTACTTTAAACTATAAAATTATACGTTTTCACCCTTCGCTCTTCACTCCTAACCTTGAATCCTAGAAAACAAAAGATAATAAATAACCTTCACCCAGTGCTTGGTTTTTCATTTTATTTCCTTCGCCGATTGTTACATGACTTGAACATGATTTTAGACAAATTTATCGTTGAACTAGTATTAATTGCAATTGTTGATTCGTTAGTCATTGGCAAAGAAAATAAACAATTAGTGAAATCAGAAAAAGACAATCATAATGTGACAGATGTGCAAAATGAAACTAATTTATCGAATATCTTTGATGGAGTATATACAGAATGTTTTCTCCACCTATCGTATTCCTGTTTGCAAAGAAAAACGTTATGTTACTTGAAGGAATTAAACAAGTTAAGTGAAGTACCTATATTAGGGGATTATGTGAAATTTGGTAAGTAGATAATTATAGCAGTAAATAATAACAATGGTTTGACTTCTATTTTTTTTTTTACTTTTATTTAAACAATGGCATATTACATATTCTATGTTACTTAAAGACGAATTAAAAGATTCTATGTTAGCTGAACTTAAACCAGAAATTTTTGAACACCTCTGTAAATTATTACATAATTCTTCTCTTTCCGTTAAGGAAAGAGATAAAGTTTTGTTTGAAAATTAAAATAGATACATACCTGAAAAAGGTAAAAGCCCTTAAAATAATATTAAAAAAAAAAATAAGTCTTCATTTTTCGAAATCGGGCAACTATTTAATGTTTAGATATTAGTTATAATAACATCGTAGATATTCACACAAATTGCTAAAATTATAACAATATCTCGAAAACATTCAATTTTATTCGTCAAGAATTTATCTTATAAAATATTTTGATCACTATCAATTTAATACAGACATTGAAATTGTTAATGATCGTGTTTTTTTTTTTTATTGTACAAGTATTTTTCTAAAAAAAAATATTAAAATTGAATTATTTTTAGTAAAACTTAACACCACTGAAAACGATAGCAGCTATCAATCAGAGGAATTGTCTGATGATGAAAACTCTGAAGAACTATCCTTTATGATAGATAAAGCAGTGGATCAATTCTTTAATAACCACATCATGAAATTCAATGCGTTGGGTAGAAATCTGTCATTTTCAAATACAGGTATGTATTATATTAGATTAATATAATGAACACAAATACCTTGATTGCACACTAAGTTAAATTAAAAAAGAGTGAACGACAGTGATTTGAAATCTAATCAACGGCAAAATTTTCCAATTAATTCTGTAATTATCATAAACAGACAAAAGTATACTCACTTCTTGCATGTTCAATTCCGATAAATTATGCTTAGCAATAATAAACATAGCAAATATAACATCTCTGAAACTCTATCATACGACCACAGACCAGAGGGAGACTTTGTACAACAGTCGTCTGCATGAGTATCTCTGTCCCAATCGTGTTTCTACCGTGAAGCACAAATTCATATTTATAAACGACGGTTACCATTGCATTAGATGGGCCGTCAGCTCATTTGCCATCCTAAGTGTCACAAAAAAATCTTCATTTATAATCGTAAGCACATTTTGCTATGGCTACTTCATTACAGTAAACCGCTAAACCGCAAAACTCATATATTTTTATGTAAATAATGATCACAAATAAGTTAATTAATGTTACAGAAGAATTTGTTGGTAGAAAGAAACGGAAAGGTGGCGGTGGTGGAGACAGTGGTGGTGGACACGAGGAGTTCTTTAAGAAGAAAATGATGATGATGGCTATGATGTGTATGAAGATGAAATTTATGATGGTAACTATGACACTAATTCTTTTTGAAAATAATAAAAAAAGTAACGTCTTGAAGTATTTTTCAAGATCCTCATGTATAACATGAACATTTTTATATATTTTTAATTTGCAAAAGATGCTTTTTTAATTATATAGCACTATCATACCTACTTGTACAACAATTAGTCCATTACCTTAAGGTTGTCTTGAAAAGATTACTCTCAGCAATAAGACCGCCTTACTGTATTTATACAATTGTATCGTTGTGTTTGTAAATTGTCTTGCTTATTTCCTATATTGTACAATGCAAATAAAGTATACTCAAGTATACTTATATAATTGATATATATCAGAAAGGTACACATAACATAAGTATTAGTAAAAATATATTGTAATTTATTATAACAAATAAAAGTGAAATGAAATATAAAGTGAACTAGATATTTAATATAAATACATCATATCAAATGAAGAGAATGAAAAATCAAAATAAAACTCGATGCCTCAAATGAAACGCCATTAAATAAAGCCATCTTATAAAAATGCAAGCATTATAATAGTAGGCTAATGGTCCACTTATGACAACAAATCTTTGTCCAGGCTTGTTTCTGGCAAGAAACATTAGTAGAATCTTATAACGATAATGACGGGATTTAAACTCATCTTTTATTTAGTCTATTAAGATATAAATATAATTGTGTTTCAGATGATGCCTGCAATGATGGGAATGATGGGCATGATGTCATTTAAAGGAATGATGTTCAGTATGATGTCGTTCATGTTATCAAAGGTGAATTTCAGTTTTTATAAGCAATCAAAATAAGAGCACGAATTTATGATATTAAGTGAATTGGGTTTATTAATGAGAAATCCAATAAAATGTGAAATAAAAACGTTGAAAATACATTTAATCTCTTATTGTCTCTAAAAGCAGTAGGTGTTTCAGACTAAAACCTGCACTTATATTGCAAAATGTAACTGAGGAATTTATTGCTATTAAATATAACAGATAAATTAGTAAAGAGATTTGTGAACCATATCAGCGTCATAAAACTAAAGAAAGGCGTTAAAATTAAAGAAGATTACCTACTTTAATTTGCACTATTTTTAATATTAGTATTTTATAGTACATATTATGCTTTCATAAATGTACGTATATATTTTGTTGATTACTAGATTAAGTAATATTGTACATTCTTATCCATTTTACATATTCAATTCTGTATTTTTGTGATTTAGATGATGCTTTTAATGAAACTTCTGGAGAAAAAAGGCGGCGGCTTCGGAGGTGGCGGAGGTGGAGGGGGCGACGGCGTAAGTAAATAATGATAAAATATAATTTTTAATTTATATTAAAAGATAAGCTCCAAGTGCTTTTAAATTAAGAATTGGTTACGACACAAACTTGAGAGTATAAAATTAATATGTAGTATAAAAGCCTGTCGCACATTTATGAGCAATTGCTCATAAGAGCTACTTGAAACTTGATTATGTATCTATTTACCATAGCACAAGACCATCAAAAATTGTGCATGTTTTTTTTCTGACAAAATGTTCAATTTCACTAGTAGAACATCTCCTACAAATATAATTATAATATGATAAATCTTTTAAATGCAAAATTTAATTAATCTATTTAAGATGAATGTTTGAATGAGAGCATTTGGTATTCCATGGTTTCTGTCTATCTCAATGGAAATCAGGCTTGAGGTATATTCTTATTAATGTAATAAATCTGAAAGTGAGTTTGTTACCTTATAGTGCCTTAATAGCTTAACCAATCAATATGAGATTTAGTAAACATGTATTATATAGGATGGATGGATGTATGGGGAAGGATATAGGCTGAGTTTTATCCTAGTCCGTAAACATGTCTCTTGTAATACAGTCGAAGTCGCAGTTAAAAGCTAGTATGTAATAAATAAATAAATTATTAAAGAGTTCGCTAAAAATAAATGCATTTTTAGGGTTGGGCCGCTGGTGGCGGAGGCGGCGGAGCTTGGATGCCAGCAGGTATTATACCAATATAACTAAATACTTATAGTAATATCGATATAAAATATATAAAAGATCGTTTCAATGCAGGTGGCCAAGACTACGGAGGCGGCGGTGGTTATGACGCAAACGGACAGTGGCAAAGTCGATCTATAATAGAAAAGGAATATGCAGATATTGAAAATAAACCTGTAATATCATACGTTATACCAACCATCAGCTACAATAACAAGCCAATTCTTGCTCACAAGGATAATTATGAAACTATTAAGAATAACGGTGTAGATAAAGTGAAATCGAGAAAGAAAAGAGGAATAATAGACGTAATACAAAATGCTTATTTATATTGGATTAACAGCATATTAGGAAATAGCATTAAAAGAAGACTAAATTATCCAAGATACAAATTAATAAATGGCGTAAGATATGTGTATTATCCAAATAAAACAGGTCATAAGTTGAAAACACCATTGCCCCCTAACAGCAATTCTATTAAAAATAATGAAGAATTTAAACCTATAATAATAGTAGATGACTTTAATAAAGGAGAAACAGTCGAAGGTGCAGTAGTAAGCAGAATGAATAGAAAGAAATTTAACAAAATGAAAGATACATTAAATGATACTATAGAAGATAATCCTTGGCAATGACTATATTATTTAGTTAAATTCTATGTTTTGGAAAACATAGTGGACCCGGACTTTAAATCTTTTTTGTTTTTTTAGAAAATTGTAAGTTGCTAGATAATACATATAGTTTAAAGAATGTTGTGTAAGAATTTGTTTGGTATCTAAAATAGATTAATGTACGAATAAGTAAACTAGGTATAATAGTTAATAATAATACATAAAGAATATGGTATAACGATTGAGTCAATAAACTATTTATACAAATTATAAATGATGCTTATTTTACAAATCTATATCTCTCATTAATTATAATATTTTATATAAAAAAATTGATTCAAATTAGATATTTCAATAATTTACCTTTCTATTCCATTTACCTTACTGTGGCATTATTGTTTATTGTATAAATAACTGATAATGTTATTTTATTGTTACCTTACTCGCTTTTGGCCACAACAAAATAACAGTGTTTTGCTCTTTAGCAATTATTTCTTTCAAAGCAATAAACTTAGTTGTGACCATTTTGTGTGATTTAAATATAAACCGTTTTGTTACACACGCACGAATAGAAAAAATATGTTTCTTCTTCATATTTATCTGCTTTGCATACCAGTACATATTTGTAAGCCTGTTTGCCCTTTTCAGCAAGATGTAATTAATTACGAATAACAATAGGAAAACAAACCTTTAAACTAAAATTAAACTAAACATTTTTAAAATGAAAAATACCTATCCATTTTTTGATTCGGTACCTACATTTTTTAATACTCGGGTATTGGTCGATTTTGAAGCGCTATTTCTCTAATCTATCCTACCACCACACACATATATTTATTTTATTTATATTATATATAGGATGGTTTCGCAAAAGCACTATTCTAGGATCATAATCTAAATGTATACTATTTTTACTTTACTTTACTTACATTTATTACAAATTTAATCCATATTACTCCTGAAAGATTTCACAACAAATTATTTTTAATAACGCCATCTCTTGGTACAGATAAAAATTAAATCCTTTATGAAAAGTAATGCGCTTCCGTATGAAAGCATGTTGGTTAAAAGTATCCAGTTGCTTTCAATTAAGCAATATGAATATAGATGGAGCTGTATTATAATTTTAATACAGAATTAAATTGTTTTTGAAATTCTATTTACTTTGGTTAGGAAAAGATTATTTTGTTCCATTAAATAAAATTATCATTACGATAAGATTACAAAAAAAATTTAAACGTTATTCATATACCTAGAAAGTAATTGATTATTTTAAATATTAAATTTTTATCCCATATTGTCTAGTGGTTAGGATACCTGGCTCTCACCCAGGAGGCCCGGGTTCAATTCCCGGTATGGGAATATCTTTTTGCAATTTTCTCAACATATCGTTTTCATTTTTCATTCCTCGTCTACCAGTTTATACCGATAGCAGAAACGGTGATTGCATTTCCATTCCATTATTTTAATTACTATTCTTACATAACAATATTGTAAATGTAAAAATGAACATATTACTTCAACATTAAATAATTGATATAAGAATAGAAAAATAATGCAATATGAAAATGAGTTTGTGTGTTTGTTATCTCTTCTTGTCGTAACGGCTTATTCAGTCATCTTGTAATAATTGGATACATAACAATTGGTATAGAGGTACTATATGCGATAGATAAAGACAGATTACTTTCTGCCCGGTCACGTGGGCGAAATCGCAGGTAAAAGCTAAAAAGTAACATTTTTACATAAAATTTATAAAAGTGGTACTAAAACATTTATTACTTTACCTTTTTGCTACCTCAAAGGAGCGAGCCCATTTTCAATCCCCCTACAGGAATAAAGTATCAAAATATTTTTAAAAATTATATATTTTATTAGTTTGTAATATATTTACTATATTTTACTTAACATTTGCAATCGGTAGCGTCATATGATTCGGCGATTAAGCTGACCGACACCCAAAGAAGGTTGTGCTGTCGCTTTCGAAAGCTAATGGACAGGTTGCACAGAAAATGATTATCTGATGATTAACGCTTAACGTAATAATCTACTTTCCTTTCGTAAACTAGGTAGTTACTGCTGATATTATAAAGGAAAATGTTTGGATATTTCGTATTCAATCCTACCAGAGGTATTATTATACTAAATCACACTTACATGGGTGAGCGAATTTAAATATAACTTAATTATTTAGATACACCATGTTCTATATGAACACACACAATAGTTTTTATATTAATTACGTAGTTATAAAATAAATTGTTGACAAATATGTAGATTCAAAAATACCATCATATTTTTATCTCCAAATCGATAACTTTAGTTTGATATTAAAAAATATTGTTATTGTATTAATACTTTGGCTACTACCAAATTAAAAATTAGATAATATTTATATCGGAATCAGTTTTATTGTATATTAATTAATATTCATATATCCCGACGAATCGAGCACGTGAAATAGTGAGTGGTCACATTAATCGAAAAATTGGAAACACCAAAACCGATAACGAACTTCTTCAGTTTCAAGACACATTCTAAAACATCGCCCCATTAAACAAAAATAATCTAAAGGAGTTTTGTTTAGAGTGTTGTAATGTAAAAGCCGTAGTAGTTTTTTTTTTTTAGTATTAAATGAGTTTTAATTAGTAAAAGAAATAAATATTTAAATAAAAATACGTTAAACTAAACTCAATAATTATAGGCCTTGTATTATTATGCTGATAACTTTGTGTACTACCTACTAGTATCAACATTATTAAACACATAATCCTTAAATATACATTAAACACATTAAATTTTTTTATTAAGATACAATATTTGTATGCAATGTATATTTCATTGAATAAATTAAACTACTAGTTAAAGACCAGTTTACCCATTCTGTAGTCATTGCTCCATGGTTGCGGTCAAAGACCTAGATCTTCACCTTGCTCTTGAATGCGCTTTGGCAGTTTTTAAAGATGGGCAGTTTTATTTATAAATTTATCGATAAGAAATTAAATTATTTATTAATTTTTTTTTCAACTTTGGTGTAATTTAAAAATGCTAAGAATCATATTTGTTTATCACTTATAATTACAATATGGATTTTTTTATAAAAAAAGAAATATAAAATAAATCTATTGTAATACTATAAAGAGGTAATATTTGATTTGTTATATGTCGCATGTTTGTAATAGATAAACACAAAAAATACTCAACCTAAAAAATTCTTTCGCCTATAACTATATTTTCATCAAGTTACATAGGTAGGTATTATTAACGAAAATTTTATCTACCTCTGTGAAGCCAGGCGAAATTCACAGTACCCACTTCAAATATCAAAAACAAAAAAAATGTATCTTGTTTAAGACCTATTCGTGTATTGACGATTTACAACACCATCTCAAACCATCACCATCAAAAACAGATATTTATTTATTTATTTTATTTCCTTGTTTACATGTCTTTACAGGATACATCCTAATTCGTATGGTACTACAAACAACATTGGTTGGATTTTACTATAGCAAATAGTAAACGTTCCAATCCTTGTAAATTCTGTCAGAGAACATATAAAGAGATCAGTACCTCTATTCGAAATATTATTTAATAAAACAAGTGCTCTAATTAAAGGAGCGTTTGATACGGTAAACAACTCATGACATAAGAATATTTGTCTTGCACAAAAAATGTTATGTAAGTCAATACTTTCAACCTTTCCCCTTAAAGTAAAATTTTACTTTATTTAAAATTATTTAAATAATTTAATAAGTTAAATCTATCGATATCGAGAAATTCGCAACTGTCCATCGAGGCGAAGTGCGATAGAGAGGCATTCACACTGTCCCTCTCACCCGGCTCCTCACTAGAGATAAGTCAGTGAGCTAGTGTTGTTCTCTCGTGTTGCATGTATACCAATTCATTGAGTGACCTTTATTTTCACGTAAACAAATAGTTTGTGAATGTGTGTTACCTTCTGCTATCGGGTATGGAATGACGAAAATTAAGGTAATTAATTTTTTTATTTCAATCAATCTATGGTTTTAACGTATTTAGATACTCGCCTATTTTAATTAGATAAATTGGTTCGATTTCAACATCAGTAAGCTTATGTATTTATACTTCTTTTTTTAAGGTTTATTATGAATTAGAAAGTGACGTTTGGAATGTGGGTGAAGTAAGACATGTAAAATAATCTGCAAATAGGAAATAAAAGTAGATAAGGATAGCAGCATTTAGAACTCTACTTTTCCTGTCTACCCTGTAGTGAACAAGCTTGAAGATAGATAGAAAATCTTGTCATTACTGCAATGATCATTATTGATATTAATGTAAATGGAATAATTAAATAGGTATAGACCGATACCCAGTTTTTACTAGAACCATAATTTGTATCCGGAATCCGGTATCATAGTAATTACTTGCACGTAGTGTATAAATAGATGTAAACTATATATTTTATTTTAATTACATGTAGTTTAATAAATATTACACGATAACCAAATAATAAGGATGGGAGGAGGGCTGTGAAACCTGTATATATTTACCGGTATGTTTCAGTCTCAAAAAGGGTTTTTATACTCGAAGGATCTGAAGAGATTCTGTTTGAGGGACTCATCCCCTCAGTGCATGGAGGACTTATTATTCCAAACTCTACCTAATAGAACCGGTATTTCATCATTATCATGTCAAATTTTAAGTGTTAACTGCGGAACATAGGCCTCCCCCATAAGAAGGAATTTGCCAGCCCGCTCGTTAAGCGGATTGGCAACCGCAGTTAGGCTTTTGGTGATGTTTTAAGAGAGACGCTGCTGTCTATCCTTTGAGCATTAAGTTTCCCTAGTCTTCTCTTACCATACCCACGGAAAAGGAAGAAATGGTCCATTTTATGCCGTGATCACATGACTTCTACCTTTTCCAAGCACCATCCTAATAATAGAGTTACTGGATGCTCAGTGCTAGTAGTTTCAAGTCATCCATGTAAAGAAGGTAAGACACTGGTGTTCCTCCTCTCCGATACTGAATAATTTTAATTATAATCTACTTGACTGTGAAAACCTCCAAATTGCTTTTGTTGTTGTATCAGCCGTTAACTGAACATTCCCCCCCACCCCCCTTTAAAGGGTGGAATACCATAGTTGCCATGCTTGGCAGGCGAGTTGGCAACTGCAGTTTGACTTTTGGAGATACTTAAACGCTGCTGCGCTGCCCATCTCTCTACCATAAGCTCCCTTAGTCGCCTTCCACGATACCCACGGGAAAGGAAGGGGTGGCGTATTCTATGCTGGGACCACCTACACGACACCGACTGCCTTTAAGAGACCGCAATGAATAATTATTAGAATCAAAATGTTGTAATGTATTTTTACAGTAACCAAAGTTAGTTGGTGTCTTTTTTTTATGGTTGATAATGGAATGGTAACCCCGCCTGCACTAACGGTATACGCTGGCAGGGCACCAATGAGAGATGATACGTGAGAATGAAAAGGCAGGTCAGTTAGCCCATCGTGATGAATACACTTGGAATTCAGAACGATGGTTTCCAGGGGGAACCACGGGAAGGTCGATTACTAATTACTAATTATTAATCCCTTCCCCCCGGTGGGTGTCTTTAGGAAAATAATCCAATATGCACTAGCACTTAACTCCATGATACCCAAGATATTGTCGTCGTAAACACCATCATCATATCAGGCGTTATTTGTCCACTGCTAAATATAGGACTCCCCCTATTGGGGAGTTTTGCCAATAGCTGCCACGTTTAGCAGGCAGGTTTTTTTTAATGGATGATAATGGAATGGCAACCTTGCCTGCGCTAACGGTATACGCTGGCGAGGCACCTGTGAGGGATGATAGCTGAGAATGAAACTAGGTCAGTTAGCTCATTGTGACGGATCCGACAAGAATTAATCACGAGAGGAAACCGCGTGAAGGTCGTCCGGACAGGGTATATTGCTAGAAATGGGATTAATGTCCCCGTTACTAACAATCCCTCTCCCCTTTGGCAAGCAGGTTAGCAACCGCAGATAGGCTTTGGTGGTGAGTTAGAAGAGCACTCTTAGTCGCTTCACAAGACACTTACCTAAAAGAAAAGGATGGGCCATTCTATGCCGGGACCACACAGCTAAACACCATATTGCATGCTTATTAGTTTCATTGGAAAACTGGTAACACCAAATTAATGACCTATAGATATAAAAACAACTATGAGCATAATAAATTAATAACGTCATTGGCCCTTCTCTAACGCAATGCAAACACTTATAACTCGTGAGTGGCGACTCTCAAACTATAAAGTGTTTTTCCTCTCGTTAAAATAATTAACATAATTAATTTATAAAATAGATGCCCTAAAACATCACACGAACTGATTATCCTACTTTCAAATGATTGACATAGATTTTATGTTATTCAAAGTAGAGTTGGCACAAAGGACAACCTTTGTAAACCCTTTTTTATATTAAACCGTAGATTATTGGTTCCAGTTTCAGCAGTGCTAAAAATAATATCTCAATTAAAATTGTATCTATCTGTAATCTAAAAAATAAAGCACAAGTATACCTAATACCCCCTATAGGGGGAAAGGGATTATTAGGTAATGCGAACCACTAGGCTCATTGATAGCAATATACCCTAACAAGTCGACCTCCACGTGCTTCCCCCTGGGAAACTTTTTGCTGAATTCCAAGTGTATTTATTCATCACGATGGGCTAACTGACCTGTCTTTTCATTCTCACCTATCATTCCTCACTGGTGCCTGGCCTGCGTATACCGTCAACCCAGATGGGGTTACCATTCCATTGTGATCCATTAAAAAAAATACCCCCTATACTCTTACTCAGCAGTGGATAGTTACCAGCTGATATCATGTTGATGATACTAAATATTTTTATCTCTAATTGCTATTATGCATTTAAACTGAAGTTCGGTTCAGTACATATCAAACCGTTCTTGCGTTCTTGTAATCTATTTTAGAGATATATTTTAAAGCATAATATTATAATAGCAAAATGTTTAGTACATTTATATAATTATAATATAATTCTGATAATTATGCTATAATATGTGTATAATGTAATCTTTTTTAATCAACTTCAAAAAGATGATTCTCAATACAGTCGCTTTTTATGTTTATTACCTCATAACTTCGTCAGTTACAAACCAAATTGGAAAATTCTTTTTTTATCTGAAAGGATATACTTTCAGATTGGTTCCACAGAAATGTTATCAAAAATTAAAAAAAAAAAAAAACATTTGTAGTTCTTTTTTCAATTCAAAATAACTAATTTTACTACAATTAATGTCGATTAAATAAGTAAATAAATATTAGAAACTGTGGAAATTCACATTTATACAAACTTTCATAATATTTGATGAGTTTAACCTTTGTTGAGTTTCGATTTCGAATTAATGAATGAGTGCCAATCCAACCACGCATGCCAATCTGCCTGCCAAGCATGGCGACTACTGGCAAAACCTCCCAAAGGGGAGGCTTATGTTCAGCAGTGGACAGTTAAAGGCTGATATGATATAATGATTTGAAAGATAGAAAAGAAAACAAAGAAATAAATACTGTCTTTTTCTTAATAAATAGAAAAGTACTCAACGAGCTAGCCCGTCAAGTAAAAGCCTAATTTCTCTTAGCGACGTCTCATTTTATGAGAACGCCGCACCACAATCTGGTCAACCGAAAGTTATAATATGCTCATTAATAATTGACGTGCTATCGTGCTACATGAGATTTTTCATGCTTCGTATAATTAAATTGATTAATTAATGAAATTACTGTCAGAGTGCAGTCAGATGTTTTCACTGATGTTCTTCCGAGTGATAAATAGTCAATACATCGATATTTGTTGTTTTCGAGTAGACATCGCTTGAAAAAGTTATATCTTAACAAATGGATTTTAGAAGTAGGAATTCTTCCACGCTTTGGAATCAACGTTCAACAGCAGTATTTCCGAACTGATACGACATCGTAACTTTCAACTCTTTTTTAAAAGGCATGCAGTACTCCTGCAATTCCTTTAGTGTTTCGAGTGCTCATGAGCGGCGGTATTCACTTATCATCAGGCTCGTTTACCCCCTATGTTTTTTGTGGTTAAAAAAAACCATGAAATAAACTACTTCTAGTTGGTATATTAAGAGAAAACTTAGCTGTTTTTAAGTTAGACCTTTAAGAATACTACTATGAAAACCGTATCTAATTTAACATATAAGCAATATATATAATATAATAAGCAAAACAGTAGTTTTTGTGTGATGCTGGAACAAATATACAGACAAGCAGCCAGAGAGAAAAATAAAATTTCTTAACATTACTGTTTTGACATTACTCTTAAGACCCCTTATATTATTTTTTGTTAAATATCTTTATGTACAGGCATCGTCTGTTTACAATTTTGTATATTCTTTATTTTACTAAAACATACAGTAAAAAATAAAGGTAAAAAAATAAATTAGAAAAAATGTAAGCTAAAGTGATGTTATTTCTAAAAGAGATTTAATTCAACCTAAAACAATAACATAGGAAGTAATGAACAGCCAGCAATAGTGCAAAACATAAATCTAAACAACAATAATTATTTACATAATTAATCATTATACTCGTATCTATATTTGAACAATACATTTCTAGTTAACCGGGCAATATGAAGGTAAAACGTCATATTGCCTAACAGTGTAAAATATATTCTTCTGTATTTTTTTACATAAATCTTTCAGATAATCAGTTATAGATGATTTATATAATATATAATTTCATTACATTTGTATTATTTTAAATTCGATTAAGTGTTAGATTCTGTTAGCATTATTTGTTATCAACGAGAAAGTGAATTAACTAGGAATACCGCATATTACATATTTAACAGATGAAAAAATCGTACAGTAATTTTAAACATAAGGTTTAACAGCCTTGTGCTTAAATATTATAAGACATGTAATAGTATTACTTATCGTAATAATTTACAATGGCAACCCACTACTTGTCACAAATTTTCCTATCTGTCATTCAGTGTAATGAAAATAGATTGTACTCTCTTCTGTCAATCGTATGTATCTGTTTTATGATCTCCCAATGAATAGTGTTTAAATCGTGTCGTTTCCCTTGTTTTTATAATTGCAATAACTTTGAAATACTCAAACGCAATTAAAAATGAGATTAGCAGATATAAACTGAAGACAATGGCTGTATAGGCTTAGTTCTTTTGCCTTCCCTATGTATAAAGGAAAACGAAACAAAAAAAAATAAGTAACCCGCGCAAGCACCATGTCACAACACCTTCTATTATCGGAAGTTTAGAATACATTTGATACTAGATTATAAGACCGGTCATCTGGATGTGCAATCATTAAGAGCGATTACAAATATCTAGATCAAAACTCTCCTGCATTTATCCACTCAAGTGCAACTGTACAATCGTGGTATACTTTTTTGTAATGAAATGCAATAGAGTGTAGATACAACTAGTTCCAATTTTAAACTTTAATTTAGTTTCTTATGGTTACAAAATTCTAAAAGTATATGTATTGATGATGTTCTGTATTGGAAATCAGGGTTAATAGATAATTTACTAATATATACATGTATAATAAAATTATGACTGGACGATGGTCTGTACATGGATGATATTTAAGAAAAATAGATATCAAAACAATATTTTTTAATAATTTTATCTGTCTATTTGTTCGGGCATCACGTAAACTACTGTACCAAATTGGATACAGGTTCACAGTTGTATTCCCTATAGGTACTTATATATATATTAACATAAAACTAGTGTATACTTTAAGCTATCTAGAAGTAGTCTAATTTGATTTTCCTACTTTTGAAATAACGCATATGAAGTGGCAGACAAAATTAATAATGAAATTATATATTGGGTATAACTGTTTTATTTGTTTTGTCTTAAATTTAATGAAAGAAGTAATGTTACAAGATAATGGTTATAAAATACAAAAACAATGGCACTTAGCTTGTATAGAATTGCTTTTGTGTTGGCCGTAACTATGAGCGCTATCTGGACTACGTTCTAATGAAGCTTAAGAACTACAAAAGCTTGTTTTTAATAGTATTTTTAGTTTTATGACATGTCTACAACTGGTCAAGTTGGGGTTTGTTTTATTTTATTGTTACGATTATTATATAAAACAATTTCAACCTCTGATATATCGCGCGCCTAGCTGTTTAGTTGCTATAAAATATTTAATTTTTTAAAAACAATAAAAAAGAATCTTAATTTTTTATTGTTTCTCCATCGATGTTACTTTAGAAAAATAAATAACTAATATAAAATAAATATTTCATTTTTCTCCTCTTAAAATTTAACATTAAATTTAAATTATGTGAAACAAGCTACAATAAAAAGTAATAATTTTGGGAAAAATTTATAGTTACACTAAGGTTAACTGTACAGATTTTTGTATTGCAATAACAAAATAAGAAAACAATTTTATAAATTTTACACTTATCATCACATAGAGATGAACAACTAGAAATACCTGAACAAAATAGCTCGGCTGCACCTTAATATGTGGAAAGGTAGCGTGACTGCAAGTATACCGGTTTCCAAAACCGAAAGTCTCAGTGAGCGGCCTTCTTACCAAATTATAAATATGCTATCGTCGTTTTACGCTATCCTTGTCTGACGTCATAACTCGGGTCGGAAGAGAAAGTGTCCCAAATGGCCCTTTTGTGTTAACAAGCACGAGTGAGACCTGGGCGCTGGATTTGGTTTTACTTTTACGTGAGCTAGACGCTAGGTTAATATCTGATAATCCCACTCGCAGAAAGTTCGCCATTATGCTCATATTTTTTAACAATAACAAAATGTTATTATTCAAATAAGGAATATATATTGACCTTTTATAATGAATATAATCTATACAATGTAGTAGGTACGAGATAAACAACAGGTTATATAAAGCCCATAAAAGTCCTTAAACCAGAATTTATAGATACAACAAAACATTTGATCATATCAATTTTGATTATTAAATCGATGTTTACTTTAAAAAATCTTACTGAGTGTTGATTTTATTTTTAACCAATTTCAAAATGAAGCAGGTTTGCAATTCTGTTGTATTTTTTGTCTATTACCTCATTACTGAGTCATTTTATCAAAATAGTTTTTTTTTTTTACAGCACAGGGGGCAAACGAGCATGCGGCTCACCTGATGGTAAGTGACTACCGCCGCCCATGGTCACCCACAACACCTACGGCATTGCAGGTGTGCTGCTGGCCGTATTTCAGTATTTTAGTTTTTAAATAAAAATAACTGGTTTTGCCAATCGGAAGTCTTTTATTTTTTGTGGGAAACAATTTTAAATTATTTAATGAAAATTGCTAAAATATCGGTTGTTAGTTTCCACTGTATATAGCATAAATATAAAATATAGTATTTTGTGATCATCATCATAGTGTGTTGATTAATAAAATAAACAAAAACAAGCGTTGATTAGCACATGGTGAAATTTGAAATTATCTTTCACTTGTAGGCTTCCATAGATTAAAATTATCGTTAAATTTTATGGGACGCTAACCGGTTTCACCATACAGTGGCATTGAGAAAAATACATAAAATTTATGAGAGACTAAGAGATTAATGAATAATATCGTTTGCAAAAACAATTCTCATAATCGGTTTAAAACGGACGAAGACATCGCATAACATATATACGAAAAAATAGAAAAACTACTGACGCAATGAGAAACTCATCCATTCGGATAATTTGTCTTTCGTGTGATTACTAACGCCAAATATTAAATATATCGTGTTTACTCAGTAACTCAGTGTAGAATGACCTCAGATCCATTGCAAGGGATTTTAGTTGTTTGTAGCATGATTATGTAATGGTAAATTTTATATGCGCTGACTGTATATATGGAGTGAGTATATGAGTATGTAATACAGGTATTCTTATACCTATCTCAGGCACCAGTCTCTCACAGTTATATTTATAATTTGATTACTTTAATATAAGCATGTCTCATTGTATCTCACTGTGATAAATTGTAAACAGAAAATAAATCTATTTATTATTATTTATTATTCGTATGAGATACCGGTAGGTGATGATAAGCAAGTATGAAGTCAAGTCAATTAGCCCATCGTAATGAATTCACGGGGAATTAATAATATAGATTTCCAAGACCGCATGGACGTCAAATCAACAGGGTATATTACTAGCAATATCACTGTTAAACATTGTACAGAGTCAGTGGAAGTAGATTTTATTTATATTTTTTTGGCCGTTTTTATCATCATCATATCACACAGCAGCACACCTGCAATGCCGCTGGTGTTGTGGGTGATCATGGGCGGCGGTATTCACTTACCATCAGATGAGCCGCATGCTCGTTTGCCTCCTGTGTTGTAAAAAAAAAATATCAGTCATTTTCTGTCCACTGCTGTACATGGCCTTACCTATTTGTTCTCTTCTTAACAGGCGAATTGGAAAACGCAGTTAGGCTTTGGTAATGTTTAAAGAGAGATGCTGCTGCTCGTCCCTCGACCATAAAGTTCCCTTAAATACCTCTTACGACATCCACTGAAAAGGAAAGCGTGGCCTATTCTATGCCGGGACCACACAACGTCTATGTTTAGTAGAGGCCAATTAACGACTGAAAGATTGATAGTGACGATTATCCCTAAACAAAGATTCCAATACGTCAGAGTTACTGATTGCGTATCAATAAATCTAATTGTTCCACATGTTATCATATATACCTACTAAATACGCCTTTCGAATCATACAATCGACAGTTTGCAGCCGCCCTAAATCGTTCGTAGTGTGAACCTGACCGCCAAAGATGCGTAAAAGTGTGTTACGGATACAAGTGACATTGTTGTGCTCTTGCGTATAATTCATAATAGGTATTGTAGTGGTAGGCGGTGGTATTATAACAGTAACACTTACAATTATGGCAGGTATACAATTGTTTTAGTTTTTTTTTTTTTTAATTAGACTACATATCACCTGTCTTTGGTGTAGATGTAACAATTATATTATCTACAGACTTTTCTAATAATTAAAAATAAATTTCATACTATTGATAATTAAAATACGAAAGTTTGCAAGGATGGATAGATAGATGTTCGAAAGTCTTTCACGCAAAAACTACTGAACAGATTTGAATGAAGTTCGTCTTACGAATAGGTTATGAAATTATATATATATATATATATATATATATATATATATATATATATATATATATATATATATATATATATATATATATATATATAAATTAGTTATCCTCGGCTACAGGCATTTCAGTAAACATAAACCTAACATCTTCACCTCCTATACATGTTATATTACTTTGTATGAACCGATTTTAATAAAATTTATACGAAACCAATCTGCAAGTATATCTTTTCAGACATAAAAAGACTTTTCCTAATCGGTTTATAATTGACGGAGTTATGAAGCAATAAACATAAAAAATATAACCGCTTTGAGAACCTCTTTCCTTTTGAGGTCAATTGAAAAGAACAAATCCTTATACTAACTTGACAGCTTTCCCGTGTGGTCCCGGCATAGAATAAGCCACCCCTTAATTTCCCATTAGTGTCGTATGAAATGACTAAAAGAAGACGAGGGTTGGGCAGCAGCGTCCCTCTTAAAACGTCTCCAAAGCCTAATTGCGGTTGCCAATCCACTTGCCAAGCATGGCAACTACTGGCAAAACCCCTAGAGGGAGGCTTATGTTTAGCAGTAAACAGTTAAAAGCTGATATGGTGATGATGATGAACTTGACAGTTGATCGCGTGTTATATACTAACACGCGATCACCTTTCAAGTTAGTACAGCAAAATTTTTATGGTTTAATTTACAAGAAATAATCAGACTTAGAAAACAACGGGCAGTCTTATCGTTAAAAGTAAAAGTAATTTCTGGGCAACCTTTGGATTTTTTTTATACAACTTGGAATGGCAAACAAGCTGACGGCCCACCTGATAGAAAGTGGTAACCGTCGCCTATAGACATGAGCAGTACCATGGACATAACAGAATATACTGTTTCGCCCATAATACCTCCCCATGCGGTGCCATTCCTATGGACTCAGGTGTTATTCCTCTGTATCCAGTAAATTCACGCCATATCCCACCCTTCAAACCGAAACACAGCCATGCAAACGCAACTGCTTCACGGTTGAAACACGAGTGGAACAGAGGTACCCAAGCAACCGACTTTTGTACAGTCTCCCTCTGGTAAATAAGATAAAGAAGAATAATTATTTTGTCTTCATCGTGTGTAATCAGACCAATCATTTGTCCTTCGAGCCAGGACCAGGATATTCTTTTTTATTAGAAATTAGACGAATAACATCTAAAAGCATTATTTGAAAGCAATATTTAAAAAAACAAAATTTACCACAAGAAATCCTGCTATCCTATGAAATATGTTTCATTGTCTCCAACAATTCTTGATTTATTACAAACTTACAAGTCTATATAATAAGAGTTTCTAGAATCTTCTAAAGTTTCCCAGCGCGGTAGTCTACATACATGAAATGTCATTCTGTGGGTTTGTGTGTCAAATCGATTCGTTTATGGGACTTTGTGAATAATAAAATCACAGAAAGCTACATAAAGTTGTCACCTTATTCGACTTCGTTCACGTTTAAGCTGTATTTCTTAAAACATTACATTTCTCAAACAAAATTTAATTTGTTTAAAGATTTGTTTGAGTCTCGTAGCAACTAATTATTTTTTAAACGACTTTCAATATGTGGGAATTGTTAATTCGTCTCTCTTCTCTTCTTTCTTTTTGAAGTGGTTTGACTTCAAAACAAAGGAGGTTCTCATTTAAGTTATATATTTTTTTAATACTCGTTACCTCATAACTACGTCAGTTACAAACCAATTCATAATATTCTTTTTTATCTTTTTTTCAATTTTAAAGTTTTTTTTTGTAGAATACAATTTTTAATACTATAAACTTGAATTTTTCATTCGCATAATTTTTATTCTATTCTAAATTATTTTATTATATTGGCGACTTACGCCAATTTCTAAACCCCAATTTATTAATTATTTTTTATACATAGAAGTAGATCAACTCCAATGTTGGTTCCAAATATTAAAAAAAAAAATCGGAATTAGTAGGTTCCATGCAAATATACTGACAATAAGTTATGAGTTCTCAAAGAAGATGACATTCGCGATATTACGAAATGTTCTAATGATATTTCTTTCATCAAAACCTTTGAGTATTTTAATCGTAAAAACAATATATTTTGTACATACCTACTAGAGTTTACTGGGTTAAAATGTAGCCTATATTCTTCTCCAACCCATATACGTAGTGTATACTAAACTTCACAGCGATTGGTTAAGCCGTTATAAGGTTTACATTCGAGCTGGCCGTATACGTGATTGTTGCTTATTGCATAAAAAATAAAATACTATAAAAAACAAACCCAATCTATGGTCACAATATTTGACAAAAGAGTGTGTACTCTGAGACATAGAAGTACATAGGCTATTTTTATTCCGACCAATCAATTTGTCTATGTCACGTTAATGAAGTCGCAGATTAAATTTATCTGCATTACATTGCATATTAGGGAGTCCATTTTTTGTTACTTTAATTTAGTTTAGATTCATTATAAAATAATTATTTCGAATTTGCATTTAATATTCAACTAGATTCTACTTTCAGTATATATCGTAAAGAATTCAATGACATACATAATATATCACATATGCTTGATATTTATCCATACGAGTTTGGTATTAATATTCTTAGCAGATGGAAAAATACGCCAAGAATATTTTAAAGTGTCACTTTCTAAAATCTCTAGATTTCAATGTACTTTATATTCTTTATGCGTCTTAAAGATTTATCTGAAAACGTTACAACCGCAAGTAGATCTAAAAAGAAACAAGAAATTATTAAAGTAAGAGGCATTATAGTTATGTATATACAAATAAATAAGTAATTTATGGGTTTTTGTCCATTGTTAATTAAATTCTCATCTAAATGTGGGTGGGTTCAACTCGTGTGCTTGCAAACCTGCGAGCATGCGTGTGCGTGTGCGTGTGCGTGTGCGTGTGCGTGTGCGTGTGCGTGTGCGTGTGCGTGTGCGTGTGCGTGTGCGTGTGCGTGTGCGTGTGCGTGTGCGTGTGCGTGTGCGTGTGTGTGTGTGCGTGTGCGTGTGTGTGGG